CAGTTGTGACGGTATATACTAATAAGGCAAGGGAATCAGCTGATCGTGAGTGGCACAGTTTCGCTCGCGTGTCGGCGCTCGAAAAACGAGCAAATGAAGCGCGAGAGAAAGGTGAAGCGTATGCATCGCGGTTACGCGTTTCAATTTCGCGCTCTTTGCCTTGACGACCGCGAATTTGCCGAGCGTAACTCCGATTCCGTTATACCGATGAAAATCACTCGCGGATTCAGTGGAATCGCTGCAAGAATAATTGGGAATCGATCGACTTTTTTGATGAGGACGACGCAAGATACACTGGTCATAGTCTTCAGAAATATGCAAAATTATTTCAACTCTTTTTGCTTATAAAAAATATGAAATGTCTACGTTAATGGGTCACTGGTCATTTTAGGTTGCTCTTTGTTATTTAACTGACTGTTAATATTAATATTGAGTATTGACATTGACTATTAGCGTTGACTATTAGATTTGACTATTAGCATTGACTATTAGCATTGACTATTAGCAGTGACTATTAGGATTGACTATTAACATTGACTATTAGCATTGATTATTAGCATTGACTATTAACATTGACTAGTAGCGTTGACTATTAGCATTGACTATTAGCAGTGACTATTAGGATTGACTATTAACATTGACTATTAGCATTGACTATTAGCATTGACTATTAGCATTGACTATTAGCATTGATTATTAGCATTGGCTATTAGCATTGATTATTAGCATTGACTATTAGCATTGACTATTAGCATTGACTATTAGCATTGACTGTTGACATTGACTGTTGACATTTAAAATTAACATTGACTATAAAAATGCACTATTGATATTGACTATCAACATTAAGTAACAGCATTGACTGTTAATATCGTCTATTAACATTGACTATTCACGTTGAATATGAATATTGCCTATCAACACTGACTATCAACCTTGACTATTAATATTGGCTATCAATATTGACTATAAACATTGACTATTGATACGTTCCTATCAACATTAACTAACAACATTGACTATTAATATTGTCTATTAACATTGACTATAAACATTGACTATTGATATTGACTATCAACATTAACTAACAACATTGACTATTAATATCGTTTATTAACATTGACTATTCACATTGAATACGAAGATTGAGTATTAACACTGACTATCAACCTTGACTATTAACATTGACTATCAACATTGATTATAAACATTGACTATTGATACGTTCCTATGAACATTAACTAACAACATTGACTATTAATATTGTCTATTAACACTGACTATCAACCTTGACTATTAACATTGACTATAAACATTGACTATTGATACGTTTCTATCAACATTAACTAACAACATTGACTATTAATATTGTCTATTAACATTGACTATTCACATTAAATATGAACATTGACTATCAACATTAACTAACACCATTGCCTATTAATACTGTCTATTAACATTGACTATTCACATTGAATATGAACACTGACTATCAACACTGACTATCAACCTTGACTATTACCATTGACTATCAACATTGACTATCAACATTGACTATCAACATTGACTATTAACATTGACTATCAACATTAACTATTAACATTGACTATTAACATTGTCTGTTAACATTGATAATCAACATTGACTATTAACATCGACTATTAACATTGACTATTACCATCTATTTATCCAACCCTATCTAATTGTTTCCCATAAATCCTGTGCACCTCTTCCGTAGTATTCGATGCGTGTGGCCATAATTGAAACTCTCTGGCATTATACTACTGACACTATGACGTTCCGTACATATGCCGTAAAAGCGGTAATGAAAATTTGTTGCGAAGCAGAGAATGCTTGTTGCGGTTTAAAGGAACAGAGATAGTTTCGCAACGGGAATTTATTAGCGACGTTTCATTGTGAACACAAAATGCCATTCTCTGAAGAAACGAGCCACGAGATGACGTTCGATGGATGACCCGCGGATTCCTCGATTTTATAATAAGAATTTGGTACAAGGTCTCCCGCGTTGCCGATTTCTCCGAGTTCATCAGACGTAACTGTCTTGCGGCTACTGGAAAGTATCTTCTGTAAATATTAACTACGAGCAAGTATTTATGATCTGATGGGGCAACGTGTACTTTGAACTAGGGTTATTTCAGAATCACCAGGCTTGATAACTCGCGGGTTTACATATTGAACCGTTTATGAAATACCCGGCGAATTTCGATAAAAAAAGAGAGTTGCTCTAGGTGTTACGAAGTAGGACGGGTCGCTAATGGCCAGTATTACAAGGGAAGTTGCAACATGTAATTGAATGTTTGGTGTTTCGAGCGGCCGATGAAAAAACGGAAATTTAGGTTAATGAAAATGGTCGCAAAAAATTATTAATCAGTTAACGAGTGGTTCCACCTGTTCTAGTTCTTGTTTGATGCTGTAAGAAAAGATATTAAGGATACTTTGCGGGAAAGGAGTAATCAGTGTGGGATTCAGTAATATTGACCTGTGCTGGGTCACTTAACCAGTAATATTGTTCACTATATAATTAAATATATGCAGGTATAGTTACAAGTGTAGTTAGAGGTATAGTTGCAGGTATAGTTGACAAGTATAATTGGGAAGTATAGTTGCAAGTATAGTTACCAAGTGTAGGTGCAAGTATAGTTACAAGTGTAGTTAGCAAGTATAGTTACAGGTATAGTTGCAAGTATAGTTAGCAAGTGTAGTTAGCATGTATAGTTGCATGTGCAGTTACAAGTATAGTTACAAGTGTAGTTAGCAAGTATAGTAATCAAGTATAGTCATCAAGTATAGTCAACAAGTATAGTCAACAAGTATAGTCAACAAGTATAGTCAACAAGTATAGTCAACAAGTATAGTCATCAAGTATAGTTACAAGTATAGTTACAAGTATAGTCATCAAGTATAGCCATCAAGTATAGTCAACAAGTATAGTCAACAAGTATAGTTATCAAGTATAGTTACAAGTATAGTCATCAAGTGTAGCCATCAAGTATAGCCATCAAGTATAGCCATCAAGTATAGCCATCAAGTATAGTCAACAAGTATAGTCATCAGGTGTAGTTGCAAGTATAGTTGCAAGTGTAATTAACAAGTATAGTTGCAAGTATAGTTAGCAAGTATAGTTAGCAAGTATAGTTGCAAGTGTAGTTACAAATATAATTGCAAGTATAGTTACAAGTATAGTTACAAGTATAGTTACAAGAACAATTCTGTTTCACAAAATTGCTTGTACTTGACATTCGTGGTGCGATTAAAAGCTGAAACATTACCGATACTACGACGCGAAACGTTCCTTTACGTTTGTAAGGCTTATCTGTCAACATGATCGAGTACGATAGAAACCCACGTAAAGTGTAATGACACGGTACACCAGGTAATAGCTCGGTGCTTCATCGATGCAACTCTGCGACCAGATTTTGAAGTTGAAGGTGGAATTTAGAAAGTAGGTTGCTTAGTAATTACGATATTTGAAAAGACTGGCGAAGTAATATGTACAGAGTGCTCCAAAAGAAGCTGATCCTTCAAACTATCACAAATTATAAATTCACAATTTTTATGTTTATAAGCAAGCTTATTGGTTTAATGTCATCTGCCATGAAAGTTTTTGTCACAATTAATTTTTTCATTTTAAGGAGACTTTTTTATTAACATTGACTTGTTGTAGTGACATGTGGTGAACCTTAAACAATTTCTCATTGACATATCATTACTCAGTGTATCTCTATTCAGTGTATATAACTTTTACATGAAGAATCTAAACACCGAATATGAAGTCCCAAATTAAATTTGACACGATATTAGTCCCTCTTTCTCCTTTTCAGAGTACTTGAAGTATGCAATAGTCGAAGGCTCTAAGCTATCAATAAAATTAACGTAAACGCAATCGGTAATAAAATGATCGAACTTTACTGCCGCTGATGATTTATCGGAAACCGTGTCCTTGGCAAAATCTTTGATTTTATGGGGGTTTGTCTCGAGAGTGGTTTTACGAGTGCTCGTAAACTTAAACAGTTGCTTAAACCAAGAGAATTATCCTATCTCGAAAATTATTTCTGAATTGCAGCAAAACATCTGACACAGTAACAGACCCTTTCTCTGCAAGACCATCTGAAGAAAAAACAAAGGTGTTCAAATACTTGGGTCTTAAAAATAAAACGATCGAAAGTACAGCTTAGACGACCTTGTTCCTGTTTCGCTCGTAATAACAGTCTCTAAATTCAGTGTTCGCGAAAATCGGTAAGAAGGGTGCAATAAAAACTGACAAGCTTCTTTTTTTCTGTAACATTGCCATTGGGAAAGTAACTCGTAAATGCTGTAATTACAGTGTGTGAAATCGAGTACACCACGGTTTTCCCCTCTCCCTTTTTCTTCCGTTTTTGTTCGAAATCGGAACCGGTTGACACGCAGATTTCAAGAGGGAATGGATTTGAGCAATCGGTCGATCCTGGACCTTGCGCAACCGAATGCCACACAACGAAACTAATCAGTCGAGGAAACTCTGATCGACGTTTCCATTAAACATTATTCCTGTCATTGTCTACGTTTCACTTCATTAACATTTTTTATTGACAACTTTATGGAAGATGAGTTCGTGGTTCAAGTGAAAGATGTCTGATGCCACATGTGATACCATCAGATGGTGGTCAAAATAATAAATTTATCTAACGACAAGATTTATATGCACAATTATTGCATATTTGACGACAAATTGTAGATGGAAGCTGTAGGTTCGCTTATTTGAAGATTTATCAATTTATTATTACTTAACAATTTATTATAACAGAAATTGTTTTTGATAGTCAATTGCTACTCCTTTTTAAAAGAAAGAGGTTATAGCATTATCTATGAGAGTGGACTAGCTGAAAATAAGTTTGATCAGTTTTGAAAATATGAGTTACAAATCTAACAAAATTATGTGATGTTATGTCATCTCCATCGTTCCATCATAATAAATGATATACTATTTCTGATTGTTCCAGTTGCGTTTCCAATGAACATGAATAGTACACCGCCAATCGACAGGATGTCGAACATCTACAACAACTCGATGGTTCGATTCTACAATCTAGTGTTCCATGACTTATCCGGTAAATCCTTCTCTGACAAATTATTAGATCATTACAGAAGTTCCTACCACTACAAGATCTTCACAGTATATATATATCAAGAAAATTGTTAACCAATGTAATACACATGTTGATCAAGAATGAAATAGATAGAGAAGAAGTAGTAGTTAAGAAGTAATTTGAAGAAAAATGAGTATGCACCATGTGAGATGATCTAATGTGTGATGATTTAGCACATATAACGCGTGACTATAACACGTGTGACAAAGTAACACGTGAACATTTAACAAGTAGCAATTTAATATGTAACTATACCATGTGTGAAGATACATCGTGCCATGTGACATGTAGTTTAAGTAGATCATGAGTGTATTACGCGTAGAGGACTATTATGTGATTAGTCTACACGTGGTAATCTGAAATGTAGCAATTTAACACGTGACTATGTTACGCGTTGTGGAAATCTGTCGCGTGATTATTCTTCGCGTGGTGTTTTGACTAATAGTGATCTGATGCGTGACTATACCACGCGTGGAGGTTCAGCGCGTGACTATACCATGTGTGGAGATACAACGCGTGACTATATCACGCGTGGAGATACAGAGCGTGACTATATTATGCGTGGAGATCCAGCGCGTAGTAATTCCACGCGTGGTAATCTGACACGTGGGGATATAACGCGTGACTATACCACGCGTGGAGAATCAGCGCGTGACTATACCACGCGTGGAGATCCAACGCATGACTATACCGCGCGTGAAAATCCAGCGCGTGATTATTCTACGCGTGGTAATCTGACACGTAGGGATCTAATGCGTGACAATCTGACACGTGGGGATATAACGCGTGACTATACCACGCGTGGAGAATCAGCGCGTGACTATACCACGCGTGGAAATCCAACGCATGGCTATACCACGCGTGGAGATCCAACGCGTAGTTATTCCACGCGTGGTAATCTGACACGTGGGGATATAACGCGTGACTATACCACGCGTGGAGATTCAGCGCGTGACTATACCACGCGTGGAGATCCAACGCATGACTATACCGCGCGTGAAAATCCAGCGCGTGATTATTCTACGCGTGGTAATCTGACACGTAGGGATCTAATGCGTGACTTCACCACGCATGGAGATTCAGCGCGTGACTATACCACGCGTGGAGATCCAACGCATGACTATACCGCGCGTGAAAATCCAGCGCGTGATTATTCTACGCGTGGTAATCTGACACGTAGGGATCTAATGCGTGACTTCACCACGCATGGAGATTCAGCGCGTGACTATACCACGCGTGGAGATCCAACGCATGACTATACCGCGCGTGAAAATCCAGCGCGTGATTATTCTACGCGTGGTAATCTGACACGTAGGGATCTAATGCGTGACTTCACCACGCATGGAGATTCAGCGCGTGACTATACCACGCGTGGAGATCCAACGCATGACTATACCGCGCGTGAAAATCCAGCGCGTGATTATTCTACGCGTGGTAATCTGACACGTAGGGATCTAATGCGTGACTATACCACGCGTGGAGATTCAGCGCGTGACTATACCACGCGTGGAGATACAGCGCGTGACTATACCACGCGTGGAGATATGGTGTGTCACTATACCACGCATGGAGCTCCAGTGCGTGGTTATTCTACGCGTGGTAATCTGACACGTAGGGATCTAATGCGTGACTTCACCACGCATGGAGATTCAGCGCGTGACTATACCACGCGTGGAGATATGGTGTGTCACTATACCACGCATGGAGCTCCAGTGCGTGGTTATTCTACGCGTGGTAATCTGACACGTAGGGATCTAACGCGTGACTACACCACGCGTGGAGATTCAGCGCGTGACTATACCACGCGTGGAGATATGGTGTGTCACTATACCACGCATGGGGATCTAACGCGTGACTACCTATACCACGCGTGGAGATCCAACGCATGACTATACCGCGCGTGAAAATCCAGCGCGTGATTATTCTACGCGTGGTAATCTGACACGTAGGGATCTAACGCGTGACTACACCACGCGTGGAGATTCAGCGCGTGACTATACCACGCGTGGAAATCCAACGCATGGCTATACCACGCGTGGAGATCCAACGCATGACTATACCGCGCGTGAAAATCCAGCGCGTGATTATTCTACGCGTGGTAATCTGACACGTAGGGATCTAACGCGTGACTATACCAAGCGTGGAAATTCAGCGCTTGACTATACCACTTACGCGTTGTGGAAATCTGTCGCGTGATTATTCTTCGCGTGGTGTTTTGACTAATAGTGATCTGATGCGTGACTATACCACGCGTGGAGGTTCAGCGCGTGACTATACCATGTGTGGAGATACAACGCGTGACTATATCACGCGTGGAGATACAGAGCGTGACTATATTATGCGTGGAGATCCAGCGCGTAGTAATTCCACGCGTGGTAATCTGACACGTGGGGATATAACGCGTGACTATACCACGCGTGGAGAATCAGCGCGTGACTATACCACGCGTGGAGATTCAGCGCGTGACTATACCACGCGTGGAGATCCAACGCATAACTATCCCACGCGTGGAGATCCAACGCATGACTATCCCACGCGTGAATATACAGTGCGTGACTATACCACACGTGGAAATCCAGCGCGTGGAGATGAAACGCATGACTATACCATGCGTGAAGATCCACGACGTGATTATTCCATGCATCATAATTTGATTCACATTGATTTAAAACATGGAGTTCCATCGCGTGGTTATTCCACTCATGATCCTGGCATCACTCTACCGTGTGATTATATCACGCACGCAAATTTGTCGCGTGAACATTTCCGTAGTAATTCAATGCGTAACTGTATCATCCGTCCACACGAGCTGGTGTTACGCTATTACCATACACACGGTAATCCAACAAGTTCTCCACACATGGTAACCCGACACATATGACACTAGTACGCGTGGCGATGTAACAGGTGGTCATATACCGTATCTATTTCCAATGCAAGCAATTTGAAAAGTGGCGCGAACTTCTGCAATGATCTAATACTAGTCCATCTTCCTTTTATATGAAAACGAAGTTAATTTTATAGATCCTAGGACGAAAGACTGGTTCCTCATAACATCGCCAGTACCTGGTGCCAGTATTCTAATCGGCTATTTGTATTTCGTTCTGTCATGGGGTCCCAGGCATATGGAGCACAGGAAAGCATACCAGCTAAAGAACACTCTAGTCATCTACAACTTCCTTCAAGTTCTGCTTAGCTGTTGGCTCTTCTACGAGGGTCTGGACGCCGCCTGGCTTCGAAAGTACAGCTGGAAATGTCAGTCAGTCGACTATTCCTATTCACCGGAAGCTCTCAGGGTACTGCTATTTCTTGTTCCTTCGTCTCTGTTTCCTGTTAAGGCAGATTTCAAGATGTGTGCTCTTTAGATCGCCAGAGGGGTATACATTTACTTCTTGGCTAAGATATCGGAACTCCTGGACACGGTGTTCTTCGTTTTGCGGAAGAAGGAGAATCAAATCACGTTTTTGCATCTGTATCATCATACTGTGATGCCGATGGTCTCATGGGGGGCCACCAAGTACTATCCTGGGGGACATGGTACTTTCATAGGTATGGTTCTACTTGTACAAATAATTGAACTTAGAGAATGCACATATTTTTTTTTAATGTTGGAATATTACTGGGCTGTGGTACCCTCAGATGTGAGGTACCTGCTGTTATTCGTACAAATAATTGAACTTAGAGGATGCACATATTTTTTTTTAATGTTGGAATATTACTGGGCTGTGGTTCCCTCAGATGTGGGATACGTTAGACATCTCTCATATCTGGCTTTGAGTTGGGGATGAAGGTTAGGCCGTTAGACCACCTTCATATGAACAGTTTACTACCACCTAAGAATGCAAATCTACTGAATGTTTAATATTTTATTAAAATATTAAAGATGGCAAGAATTGGAATTTTTTATCTTCATTAATCTCCTCATGCATGAGAGTTTAAACTACAAAAGAAAATTCTAAAATCCTTCTTTCATTAATTTGTTGACTGAATCCTTGTTTCATTAACTACTTCCCTACGTATGGAGGTGCAATATATTTAACTTGACACGTTGTTTAACTTGATCGAAAATTATTTCATGCTCTTGCGAGAGGATCATTGCTCATAAGTAGACTGCAGCTGTTTGATGATGATATATGAAGGTCTATGAAGTATTTATACTATAATCACGTGGTCTAAATCATGTATTAATCATGTGGTCTAAATCAAGTATAAATCATGTGGTCTGTGAGATAGGCTACAGGTTAGGTTTATGTTTAACCAGCAAACTTTCATGTATCATAAATGCATGAACATCTGTAGTATACTAATAAGCAGATTGTTACATCGTATTCTATTGAATGTAGGTCTTCGATTTTTATAGAAATTGTATGGTCGTTCTGTCGCAGGTGTTATTAACAGTTTCGTCCACATCATTATGTACACGTACTACTTGCTGGCAGCTTTAGTACCTCAATATCAGAAGTACCTGTGGTGGAAGAAATACATCACAACTCTTCAAATGGTAACACACTATTATATTTTAAGCTCATGTTGATATGTAGCATACACATCATTTCAGCTTGTAAATTATCTCACTAGAAAACTATATGTAGAAATCTGTATGTATTGTGCTATGAATCATTTCAAAATTATTTTCTCAAACAGTATCAAAGACTGATTGAAATTAAACTTGATGGATGTTAGTAGTGATAGAGAAAAATATGACAGAAAATGAATAACATCAGAAAGTAGGTCTTCATGAACAAATTTTTAAAGATAATTCTGTGTTGAAGAAAATAAAAAAAAACTCTATCACAAGAATTTTAAGACAATCTGCAAAATTGAAATGTCCTTATCTTAAGACGTCTCCAAAATTGAATTGTCCTCATCTTAAAATGTTTTCAAAATTAAATTACCCAAAATCTGTTACATGTCGTCAAAACTTGAACATCATTAAGCTATGATCAATCATTTCGATACAATTAAAAATTAAAGTATACGAAAATAATTATTATTCTTTCTCTGTCAACAGGGACAATTCTGCTTGGCCTTCTTACACAGCTGTCAACTGCTCATCTACGACTGCGATTATCCAAAGTGGTCTTTGATCTTGATTCTACCAAACGCAATGTTCTTCTACTTCCTGTTCGCCGATTTCTACAACCACGCGTACAGCAGCGGCAAGAGGACGAAATCGATCGAACAGAAGAATGGAACCGAGAAGAAAATGGTTAATGGAAATATGCAGAATGGAAAAGGAAAGACGGACTAGTCTGAAAGCGTTGATTCTCCGTGTAATATATTGTGGTTAATTAATGATTACACGAAGTTCTTGGTGATCGTGTGTTCGACTTGTGCGGTGGAGACAGTTTGAAGGACATTTTCGTTTTGGGGAAATCAAATGTGAGCGTGGTTGGATTTTTTCTTTAGGGGAAATGGAATCTCTAGGTGTTAGGTTTAGAGAAAATTGATTTGTGGAGACTTTGGAGATGGTAGTTTTGAAGTGGGGGAAATTCGGAATATGGGAAGAGTAAATATTGAAATTTGAGAATTTGAGAAATTGGGAATTTTAGAATTGGGGAGCTTTGGAATTGAGGAATTTTGGAATTAGGAAATTTGGAATTGGGGGATTTTGGAATGGGGGGATTTTGGAATTGGAAGTTTTGGAATTAGGGAGCTTTGGAATTAGGAAGCTTTGGAATTGGGGAATTTTGGAATTGGAAAGCTTTGGAATTGGGGAATTTTGGAATTGGGAGCATTGGAATTGGGGACCTTTGGAATTGGGGAGCTTTGGAATTGGGGAATTTTGGAATTGGGGAGCTTGGAATTGGGGAGCTTTGGAATTGGGGAGCTTTGGAATTGGGGAGCATTGGAATTGGGGAGCTTTGGAATTGGGAAGCTTTGGAATTGGTGAATTTTGGAATTGGGGAGCTTTGAAATTGGGGAATTGTGGAATTTGGAATTTTTGAGCTTTGAATTCAAAAATACTAAAAATTCAGAAATCTAAAGATTTAGAAACATAGAAGATTGTAAATAATAACCTGAGGTACCATTTTCCCCATAAAAGTTTATCAACACTCATCGTATGCTTACAGCGATAAGTCACGAAAATCAATTATGTGATCAGAACCGCAGGTCGATGCTTTGACTGTAACTGTCAATTGTCTAGCTGTTTAAGGACTGTAATTAAGAATGAAAAGCACCCTAAGAAGTTAATAGAATCTGAAACGTGCGTGTGAACTTTATTCGCGTATTTTATGGCATAGAGTAGTAATAATTTGATAAATAGTTTATAAATATATTTCGTTTTTGTACATCGTTTTAAGACGAACTGTCGCAGTTTTCATTTTTTTATTTCTTTTAAGCGAGTGTAGATAAAATGGAAGTCGTGTTATAAGGTTGCAAGATGAATAAATAGAGAGATCAAGAATTTTAGATATTTTAACGAAATTTGAGTTGTAAATTTTCGGAGAGTTAATTTTTGAGTGTTTGCTCTTCCATAAGATGGAAATTGTTGCGGTAAATTTATTGAAGTATGCGTTGGAAATTATTGTAAATATTCTCGCGTTATGGGACTGAGTCCGATTAGACAATAAAGAAGTTTAAAATTAATTTAAGTTTCTTTTGAAACCTTCAACCTTCTATGAGGAATAGTTTATATTTAATATTGATTAATAATTATTTAACGTTGATTAATAATTATTAAATTAATTTGAAATTATTAGGTACAAAATTGAATCAACTTTCAAGAACATTAATAAGAGACTGTTAAAAATTATTAATTACAACTACATAGTTACAGCTACATACTTAAAGAAAAATGTCTTGTATTGCATAAAATGTATATGTAATTTGTTATGCAATTTACTGGATCACTTAAGAAAATTCGATTCAAGAACCAGGAAAAAATTGATTCAAGAATAATCCTTTTTAACTATTTCTCTCCCATACAGTAAAAGTTGTATCCGATCAGACTAATAATTATCAAATAGAAAGTTATCGTTTCTTATAATCACGCAATACAGTTCTAAACTTTCTTTTACCTATGCAGAGTACTTGTTTCTAGTGAAACTCCTTCGACCACCTGTAGGCGGCCATAGCAAAAAGTAAGTCTTATCTAAAGTTAAATTACTAAGAAATATTAGACTTGTTCAGGAAACGTCTATCGTTAAAGGAACTTGTGATAGTACAACGGAGCCATAGTATGGAGATGTCATGCAACAGGTGGCGATATAACAAACCAGAATATAAAAGAATATTGCATATAAATGTAATGCAATACGTGACGATCTGAATCAGGTGACGATTGAATCAGTGGTGATTCAATAATTAGTGATTTAAAGCATTGTATATAATTTCACGAGTGGTGATCTAACGCAGTGCAATTTCATATTACTATGAATTTCGGTTTTAAACTACACATGCAAAAAATAAAAAGTGAATAAAGAAATGGGGTAAAAACGCTTCAATAAATAAATGTTCCGTTTATTTACATATCTTGATCGAACAGTGTATTATTTTCGCGTGATATTTATAAATATACAAAACGTCACGGTCGAAAATATAGTACAGTTCAGGCGTCACAAGATGAGGGCTCATTTTGTGGCGAACAGTGCACAACTCGCTTTAACCCCTTGTCCTACAATTTTATAGGCAGCTGCGTCATTCACAGTCAGCTAATTACTGCTAGAAGATAAAGTAAAGAAATTTAAGACGTTCAGCACATTTTGCATTCGGTAATCTTTGATTATACAGTTTATAACCAAAATTCAATTACAGTTAAAAGACATATGTGAACTGTAGTGTGCGTCACGAGTGTGACACGATATTGTAGGACGAGGGGTTAACATTCGTTCAATCGTTTTTCGAAACATTTCATTTGTAACCTCCTTCCTGAGGCATTGACCCTTCTATATCGCCATCATATTACCACTTCTCAGAATAAATATAACTTCTACGCGCTACATATATAAAAATAAGGTAATAACAATATACAAATTTACATGTGGACAATCGTCCAAGCGATTAAATTTGACGATCACGCTTTTCCCATTCAAAAATTTAATTTGTTCCACTGTTTTGTGCAATTTTTAAGATCTCTCATTCATGAAGGTTCTCGTTTAAGTTGAACATTTCGATTACTTAATTACTATCAGAAATCGCAAAAATAATTGAAGGAAACTTATATGAACGAACATTTAGTGGCAACACAAAAATTCTGAAATCACATATGCTTTTGTCAGTGAAAATTTGTTCAAGCGAAACTCTGACATTGCTCCAAACTTAAAAATTACAAATACTTCTTCTAAGTACCTAAAATATATTAACCAAAAGTTTATGTGAATATGTAAAACATTTGAGCAATTTATACTACCCTCAAATTTTACATAACAAAATAACATTCATTTCATAAACCTATCTATAATGTTGAGAGACTCAGTCTCTCTAAAAATCTTGTTTATTTACAAAAAATAAATTAACTGTCACTTAAGTTATTCGTGATTTAAGACAGTTGTGAGAAATTTGTCTTGAACAGAAACTAGTTATAGTTGTAAAAAGACAAGCTTGAAATATGGCAGAACTAATGAAAGTTTTAGTAGCTTCCTGAAGAGGTAGGACGGTACTAAGATTCTGTCTTTTGTTCAGTAAAGGTATACTCCTTTTAACGAATTTAGACTAATTGATGTTCGTACTACAAACACTTATATTTATGGTATTTTCACAAGGAAAAACGAATGTGGAACCAACACGAATAATATTCTGTGTTTATAGTTGTTGATTAGTGCCTTAATTGCTCTAATTGGTCCTTGAGTTTATATGTAGTATCAAAGTCGTAAAACTTGTTAAAATAAAAACATGGAAGTAGTAAAAATTTTGAAGAACACAGAAATACTGAAGAATATTGTAGAAGTCCTCGTGTACATAGTATCTCTAACAAGAAAGGTCAAGAAAATATCTGACCATTCCATAGTATCAAACAGCGCAGAAACCTGAATACCATCAAACTCGCAGAACTCGTTACACACAAAAACGTGGAAGCAGTAGAAATACCGAAGAACGTCATACAAATACTGAAGAGTATTGCAGAAACTTTGAAGAGCACTAAACCTCTGAAGAGCACTAAAGAAACTTTGAAGAGCATTACTGAAATTCTGGAGCGAGTACGCAAGGGTAATTGAACGCGGTCGAAAAAGCTTTACCGTTTAGAAGTTTATCGCTCGAATCACGTGGCAACGTCCGAGAGCAGACATTTCGTTTCTCTTGCCTTTTATTTTTCGCTCGCAGCCACTGCGTTCGTAGCCTCGAGCGATTTGGGCCTGGTCAAGACATCTTTTTCGTTCTTCTTTTTCTACCGTTTCACGGTATCGCTCTTCGAATAACCGGTGGACCCATTGACCCACATTTCGAAAGACCCCGTTAACTCCCCAGATTTCGAGTTCACCTGGTGAGTCTCCCTCGAAGTTGAAACTTGATCTTTTCCTAATTGGGTCGATCAGCTTGTTTCCATAACACGTTTTTCGAGCCGATCCTTTTGTTTCTTACTTTGATTTCCGGTTGCGCGTGCCACTTTTCGCTTCGTGGGATTCTTATTTGGAGCCTGATGCACGGACTTGGTTGCAGTTGTGAGACTACGGTTTTGGATTTGGGAATTTGGGGGATTGGGGATTTGAGGGGACGGAAATTTGAGAAATTGGGTGATTTGAGAATTTAGGGAATTTTGGGATTTTGGGAATTTAGGGAATTTTGGGATTTTGGAATTTGGAAATTTCGGGATTCGGAAATCTAGGAATTTGGGGATTCAAGGATTTGGGGATTTAGGGATTTGGGGATTTGGGGATTTAGGGATTTGGGGATTTGGGGATTTAGGTATTTGGGGATTTAGGGATTTAGGGATTTGGGGATTTAGGGATTTGAGGATCAAGAGATTTGGGGATCTAGGGATTTGGGGATTTAGGGATTTGGGGATTTAGGGACTTGGGGATTTAGAAATTTTGGAGATCAATAGATTTGGGGATTTAGAGATTTGGGGATTTAGGGATTTGGGGATCAAGAGATTTGGGGATCTAGAGATTTGAGGATCTAGAGATTTGAGGATCTAGGGATTTGGGGATCAAGGAATTTGGGGATTTAGGGATTTGGGGATCAAGAGATTTGGGAATCTAGAGATTTGAGAATCTAGGGATTTGAGGATTTAGGGATTTGGAGATTTAGGGATTTGGAGATCAAGAGATTTGGGAATCTAGAGATTTGAGGATCTAGGGATTTGGAATTTTAGGGTCTTCAAAATTTAGGAATTTGGCAATTTTGAGATCTGGAAATCTAGGGATTCGGAAATTTGAGAAATTCTGTCAATTAGATAACGCGATCACGTGACAAATTCTCCAACTTAAGAATCTGATCACATAATTGAAAAAATACAAAGGTCAGCTAAACATGGTGAGGATCACTCCGTAATTTGATATAGTTCATGAAACACCACTTGATCATATCTGAACGTAAAATAAGTAACAGTTATTTCGCGCCATCTTGAAGTTCACATCCTTTGTAAGATTATCCAAACTGTAGACGTTACAATTGAGTTCTTGAAGGTTGATCTGGAAGAGCTGTTTCTAGATCCACTTCACATGTTCTGTAACATGTACTTCATACGTTCTGCAGAAGGTTATTGTTACTAACTCCACTGATCATGAGATTCAATTGGTTTTCGCTGTCTTTTTATAAAATAGTATGATGTGTCGACAGTGATGTCTTCTTCGAAAAATATATTGTAAGTAGTATGTCTTCAAGAAACGTGCCTTCCTTCGATATGATACTAGTATCACGATGTTATCAGTTATCTGACAGAATGGAGTCTAATCTGATGAATCATATATAGTTAGATTCTTAATTTGTATTGGCATCTTAATTTTAAGACCTTAAAGTCAACAGATAGATTCACCAGATTAAAAGTCTCTATCGATGACTGATTAAACTTGAAAACTTCAAAGAGAACTACGTGATGTTAGCTTCCGAAGTTCAATCGAGCTTTAGCGACAGAAGTGTCGAATATTAAACTTCCTTCTTGCTGTACGCCTTTCGGTAAAAGTCACTGAACAAATAAATAAAAATCACCACATTGGCCATGAAGAAATAGGTGATCGCCCTCGGTAATTTGCAGTCCATCGCCAGAATCATCAGCAGGTATCCAAGCATGAGAGCAAACTGTGTCTAATAAAAAAAACATAAAGAAAGATTAGGGTGGATCATCGAAATTTCGTGTTTATTAAAGTATCGTGCTGACCAGTTGCATCGCGGTCATGTACTTCTTCCACCACAGGTACTTCCGATAATTTGGTCCGAGAGCCGCGATCAGGTAATACGTGTACATGACGATGTGCACGATACTGTTTAGGAACGCGATCATGGCACCCTGTTCGTCGGGCAGGAACTTGAGGTAGCACCACGAGAACACCGATGTCATGGTGTGGTGGTAGACGTGCAGGAAGGTCACCTGATTCTGCTTCTTGCGGAGGACGAAGAACACCTTGAAGAACAAATGTCGAAATAATTGCGATTGACCTCGTTTGGCAATCAAATTTTCCTGGTAGTTGCAGTGCTGACTGACAACTTCTATAAACATATTGGTCAATTGTTAAAAGTCAACAAGCTTGAAATGTGACGGAATGGAGCTGCTGTTGTATTACAATACAAAATTGTATAACCTTTGATTTCATGGTAGAGTCTCGCTATATGGCCCTAGTCAAAATATACACAATACAATATATACAAATATACATTAACAGATTCAATTACAACGTTAAGATAAATAAAAAAGGTTGATATGTTGGGCACATTTTGTATGCAAGGGACTTCAAGCAGATTATACTTTGAATTAAATACGAAATTCAATCGAAGTGTAAATATGAGACGAAGTGTGAATATGATGTGTTATGCTTTAGGTACAATATGGTACAAAATGTATATATGCTATATATATATATATGTATACAGGGTGTCTCGATTCGATTGTAGTGTGAATATGAGTTTGAAGTGTTTAGCTGCAGTGTGCGTCATGTGTGCGTCATGAGTGCGTCACGATGTAGTAAGACATAGAGTGAAGTTTCGTATGGTATAAAATGTATGTATGATGTATACATATGTACATATACAGGGTGTCTCGATTCGATTGTAGCGTGAATATGAGTTTGATGTGTTTGGCTGCAGTGTGCGTCATGTGTGCGTCATGAGTGCGTCACGATGTAGTAAGACATAGGGTGAAGGTTCGTATGGTACAAAATGTATGTATGATGTATACATATGTACATATACAGGGTGTCTCGATTCGATTGTAGTGTGAATATGAGTTTGAAGTGTTTAGCTGCAGTGTGCGTCATGTGTGCGTCATGAGTGCGTCACGATGTAGTAAGACATAGAGTGAAGTTTCGTATGGTATAAAATGTATGTATGATGTATACATATGTACATATACAGGGTGTCTCACAACTGGTGTTGTATGAAATATACTTTGAAGCGTAACTCACCGTATCGAGAAGTTCGATGATCTTTCCGACGAAGTACCACCATCCCAATTTTGCAAACTGTTTAACACAAAATAAGAATAGTATTATTGATTCTACTTGACTCAGATTTAAATTATGATTTAATTGTCAACTTACTGCGGTTTGTATCAATATATCTTTGGGATCCCGACTCGCACTGTTGCATTTCGATGGGACAAGCATATATTTCACACCAGGGTTCAGTAGTGGCTAAAAGTTAACAAAATTCCAAAGAATTATTGTTTTTCTCAAGAATTATTTAACTTGATTGAGCTATCACATACAGTTTAATGAAAATAAATGCTAACTAATGAAATTAAGTATGTCAAGGTAGCGTACTGTATCAATGAACGTCGATTCGATAAAATTTGCAATTTTACTGGTTTTGAAATGTTATTACAAAAGAGGTCAATATTCAACGTTGTGACATTGCACAGTTTACTGAAATTTGATATAGAAATATCAATATAACGAGAGCTGTTTTATTGATATAACTGCTTAACGAGTTGATGTAACAAACCTGATGAGTTGAAAAATTATTTTACCATATAGAGATGGAAATTAAATTACTGTGCAAAAATATAGAATTAGGGCAAAGTACCACGTTCACTATAGTGATATAGTGTGGTAAATAAAATCGTTACTCTTTTAACAAGGTTAAAGTTAAGTAAGTTATGTAAGTAAGTTAAGTAAGTTAAGTAAAGTAAGTAAAGTAAGTTCAGTAAAGTAAGTTCAGTAAAGTAAGTTCAGTAAAGTAAGTTCAGTAAAGTAAGTTCAGTAAAGTAAGTTCAGTAAAGTAAGTTCAGTAAAGTAAGTTCAGTAAAGTAAGTTCAGTAAAGTAAGTTCAGTAAAGTAAGTTCAGTAAAGTAAGTTCAGTAAAGTAAGTTCAGTAAAGTAAGTTCAGTAAAGTAAGTTCAGTAAAGTAAGTTCAGTAAAGTAAGTTCAGTAAAGTAAGTTCAGTAAAGTAAGTTCAGTAAAGTAAGTTCAGTAAAGTAAGTTCAGTAAAGTAAGTTCAGTAAAGTAAGTTCAGTAAAGTAAGTTCAGTAAAGTAAGTTCAGTAAAGTAAGTTCAGTAAAGTAAGTTCAGTAAAGTAAGTTCAGTAAAGTAAGTTCAGTAAAGTAAGTTCAGTAAAGTAAGTTAAGTAAAGTAAGTTAAGTAAAGTAAGTTAAGTGAGTTAAGTAAGTTAAGTAAGTAAGTTAAGTAAAGTAAGTTAAGTTAATTAAGTAGGTTTAATGAGTTAAGTAAGTTAAGTAAAGTAAGTTAGTTAAGTAGCTTAAGTAAGTTAAGTAAAGTAAATTAAGTGATGTAAGTTAAGCGAAGTAAGTTAAGTAAGTGAAGCAAGTCAAGTCAAGTAAGTAAGTTAAATAAGTGAAGTAACTTAAGTAAGTTAGGTAAGTTAAATAAGTTAAGTAAGTTAAGTAATTTAAGTAAGTTAAGTTAAGTAAGTTAAATAAGTGAAGTAACTTAAGTAAGTTAAGTTAAGTAAGTGAAATAAGTAAGCAAGTGAAGTAAGAAAGTAACTTAAACTAAAAAATAATCTTGATTCAATACCATAACACTCAACCAAAGACTGAAGAGAACAACAAACGCATTATAAGCGATCAGCAAAGGATTCAATTGCATGGCCGGCCTCTTTTCCATCATCTTCGGTCCAACTTTCAAAACGAACGCCAAGTACGTTCCCACGATGCACAGCATGGGTCCAGGTGACCCCATCATTGGCCACGAATCCAGCATAATTTCTATAAAACCATGTCCGCTCTTACTTACGTCAGCAAACTCGACAAAAATTCTGCTAAATGAATTTTCCACGGATCCTCAAAAGAACCGTGCATAATATCCGATAACGAAGCAAAAATTTTTAGAATAGGCAACAAATGCTGATACTTTTTCGTTTTTAAACAAAATTTGCATAAATTATCATTGAACGTGCTTTGAATTTAGTGGAAGATTTCTTTTTGTACCCATGCAAATTAGAAGGTCGCTCATTTTTTCACGCAATTACCTCTTTTTACTTCTGTTAATTCGTTGTAGTTGCTCACCACCAGCCGCATTATGTTCGACATCTTGGATTTTGACCTGAAATGTGTACTGTGATACAAAAGAAGTCTTAAATTAATTTTGTGACAAATGTAATTTTGTAAAATGCAAGGTTTAGTGGACGTTCTTTTCTTATCTGATATTCAGTTAAATTAAAATTGAAATATACTTTACACAAAATAATCGGTTTTATTTTCATTTCATCTGCTATTAAAATTCTGTGATCTGTGATGCTTTCTAGGGGTTCTTTCTTGCTATCTGAGGTTCTAGATATTTTAGAATTATTGTATGTCAGTAGATAGGAAAAATAGGGCAGAAAAGGGAATTTTGATTTTATGTTACTACCCCTACGTTGAGATAGGGGGTTGAAACTTGATGTGAGATTAATTTAGATATGCTACATAATGACTTATTGAAAGTTTCATTTAGCTGAAGAGTACACTTGATCACATTATTCAGGAACACTCTGTGGGAACATCAAGGACCTTGTAAAGCTAAAAACTTGAGAATTCAGAAATTTAGATATCCAACAATTAAATGTATAAATTACAAATAACTAAGTGCATACACAGTTACTAGTAAGTAATAGCTTTATATATAATAGTACAATAGTTTTCATTTTAATCTGCTATAACAAGTGCCCTTTATCAAGTCCATTTCCCCACTGCACATTTCAATAATTAAACCGTAAGCAATACCACAGAGTAGGTCACCTCCTGCCAGCTAATTTATAATTATATATCCTAAAAATCTTGAGAATATATTTTCCAATCACCTTAGTTACTGAAGCAATATAAACAGTTCCGCCAAGCAATTTGAAGTCCTCGATGCACCTTCCGTTTGTTGATAAAGTCGAAGGGCGAAGAGGAGATGATGAGCGAGAAACTGCGAACCAAAAACTGATCAGTCGACGACGTAAGCAGCCACGAAGAGGACCACAACCTCATTTTTCTTTACTTGCCCCACCACATGCTCCCGACATACTGTAAAATCATAACTTCCGTTGCTCGAATGGGAGGTTGTTCAGTGAAAGAGGCAGGGATGAAGTTGCTGGACTAGGTTGTCGCCGACATAACAGTTGACCTATTGATCGACTTTTTTGCTTAAATAAAAAATTATCGTACGATGTGCTGAATAATTATAACGCGAAACGCTAGTATTTTACTGGTAATCTTTACTAATATATTTTTTGTCTTCGTGTAAATCACTGTACACGCGTTCACATTGCATCTACATTACAGTACATTACATATTTTTTGTACGAGTAATTTGCTCAACTGCATTAAGTATTTGATGTAACACTAAACCTACATGTTTGCAATGCACTTACTCTGAAATTAAAAGTGAAGTTACAAAATAAATAGACAAATTGTAAAAGATAAATTAATATACATATCATTCACCTTCATGAAACTTAGCAGAGATTCTAAGGAAATTGTCTTGATAAATTTTGTAAGATAAAAACTAGTAACAGGGTCATTTGACATTTTTGGTAATTTCAGTGTTAATAAGGAAGTGTTTAATGAAGAGGCTTTTTGGAAGAATAATAGGAGTTGAAATTTTTTGACAAACTGAACTTGGAACCATTGATGATTTATTTAGAGAAGTACATTCAATTTTGCACTAAAAATGTAATATTACAAGAAAGTAGTAAATGCATGAGGTCAAAGTAGTAGCTGATTATTTGGTGTATCTTATTGCAATTCAAGCAATACAAAATTTTTTAAATATTTCTACATCCACACTGTCTCATCCATATTTCCTTCAATATCCTTCAAAATTCCCCAAATCTTCTGTACCTTCATAAATAAATATTACCGTTCCCAGTAAACTATAAACTATCGAGTAAAAGATAAATTTGAGTTCAAAGCAGAATTCTCGGATTTGCGTCAATGTTAGCTCCGCTGTTTGATCGAAGACGATTCGATGCAAATATTGAATATTAGTAATAATCTGTAAATTATAAGATTTCGTTTAGAGACGAGTTTAACACAGGTCAAACAATGTTCTTACGTTGGAATTTGTTCCCTCTATTAATCGTCTCTTTGTTCCGGTCAAATAAAGCGTTCGTAAATTTCGCAAATATTCTCATTGTGAGAATACGTCTTTATGATTCTATCGTTAAATCGTTGACTTCGTTGTAAATTCGGGATGACGTCAAAAATGATCTCTTGTACAAGGTTCTGATCTTAAATAGTCCGACACTTTTCAAACAAACAAGAGTCAAAATATTTCTGGTTTTCATCAGATCCGACAGAGTATAAATTATAAGTCGGAACTGAATGTATATTGAGGCGTCTAAAACAGGCCACAGACCTGTTCCTAATCGACGAGTAACTTTAAGAATTAATATACTCGTAAAACAAAATTTCTTTAATTACAATCGTGATCGGTTGCGGCCATTAATTACAATCCGCATCATGCATGTACACATACGTACACATGTATACATACGCGTATATTCAGAGATCAATCGTATGTTTAATGCACAAAACAGAGCAGTCTTTATCTAGTACATTTGTAAGTGGAACGAACGATAGTTAACTGTATTCAGATTTTATTATTAGAAACCGTACAGTCGTAAAGTAATTTTTAAGTTAACAAAATATTAGCTGCACACCGGTTGTAAATCACTCAGACTTCTTCGACATTGTTCACGATGACAGTTTTAATAGCCTTTGTGAACTTGTGCTACAAGTTCTATTCAACTTCAAGCTTCACGTCTGAAGTTACACCGAAGTTAATTATAACTTCACTTTTTATTTAAAAATTCTCTGGTACATTAAATTTCAATTGTAAATTTTCTAGATTCAAGGTTTTCATTTTCTAAGTTTCTAACTTAGGTTTCTAGGTTTTTAATGTTAGAAAAATATCTGTACGGTATTTCGCATATTTACAATTTCCAACGAAACAGGTTATAGGTAAAATTGAAGGAGCTGGAAATGGGGTCAAAACGGGTCGACTCTTTGCAATGAGACGTTTTGTTTCCTTTGCTTACATCCTAGAGTTTTTGCGACGCTGGGTTTTTGCAAACGTCCATAAAATTTTACCGTCAAGTTCAATGCGAAATTGAGATGCAGCTATGAAATCGTAAATTCTTCATATCGCAAGGTCCTTTTTCAGTGAGATGAAGAGGTCCCAATTCAGAAGATGATTTAGATATGTTGCGTTGATTATATTTTACAGATTCCTAGGAAATGTTTCGAGTGGTAACGGAACTTTTGGGTCAGTCACTTTCTAATGTAACACGTCAGTGATACGCGCTTTGAAACACACGCGCATTGTGTTAACTATTTTACGAGGATTAATCGAGTGATGAAGTCATTCGTGCAATGAAATTAGGTCAGATTATAAATTCATATAATTTTTAAGTATTTTTAAAGAACTGAAGCGGTGTAAATATTTCTGAAGATGTTATATTTTATCATTATAACATATTCATATGTTGTCAACATTTAATAGCAACATTATATGTTGTTAACGTATGATCAGGTGAGAAAATAATGAAATGTGGAACTGTTACATAAATTCTTACACATCTAGTTATATCACTGCTCTTAAATTTCCAAAATGTAGCTCCTCAATTACGCAGAAATCAATATTGTTGAACATAATTTCGAGGTCACAGGAAGAAACACGAAATTTAGACATCCGATCGTGTAACGGCACCTGCTGTTAAGCTGTCTTCTCGTATATGCGTGCTTTTTTCACGTTTCTTTTGTGTACACCATTTTGCCTTTCGCTTGGGCCATCCGCTAACGTTCTAAAAAAAGTAGGTCGATTTTTTCGAATAGCTCGTCCTCGCTCTTGTTCCTTATCAAATTTTTGTATTTCCTGAAATAGGTTAAGGTGCGGTATAAAACGAAGCGAAGAATGCCTCGATGTTAACCCTTGTACGGCAGAGTGAATCAATTGAGGACTGGTGAAATGTGCAATGGTATTTGAAGATTAGTATTCTTTAACGAAAGTTATATTTTTTTAAAGATGTCGGTTTAAGTAAAATTCTAAAATTATATTTATTGTCTTGGTGATCGAAATAGTTTAAGGGTCGAAATTTTATTTTTCAACTATAAACAATTTCATTTATCGTAGTCAAGGAAGTCTCTGAAAAAATATTAACAGATGTATAAAACTATTATACAATTAGGTCTGAAAGTATATTACAAATTAGTTTGGTTAAGTGTGAAGGTTAAATGTTAAATGTTAACCTCTTCCAGTGATGCATTTATTGTTCCATAATTTTGAACAGAATATCACTTATTGATCTCAAATAAATGGTCATAATTAATTTATTCATTTCAGGGAATTTTCAAATAATAAAATAATATAGCGCATGAAGAATGCATGTTTTCCTAAACAAAATGGCGATATAGTTCTCACTATCGAACTTATACAAGACTTAAGATTTGACATTAATCTTAATGCCAGATTCGTTCAATAAAAAAATAAAATGGTGAATAAACTCGATTGTCATTTTCACTCGTCTGTCAAATATTTATGACATTCACATTTAACCCTTTGCACTCGAAGATAATTTTACTGTTTGTAAACAGCAACTTTAAAATATTAATTAAAATCTTATATGACTTCTTTTGAAGTTATTATTTCTCTACTAATAATTTCCACTATTGTCTATTTCACTATGTTTATACATCACATAAGCACTATTATAGAATTAATTAAATAATGCTTCTTTTAAATTATTGTATTAAATCGAATAATAGGCGCCTCTCGCTCGCAAAGGGATAATAAACTTGTATATTGTCAGACAAATAAGCTTGCAAAACTTATAGCAAGTTAATAAACTTGTTGTACAGTAATTTTCAAGTATTAATCGTTTATTTTACAATAGTAAATGTACAATTAATTTTTGTAGCGTATTTTAAAGTACTCTCTCAAATATAACTTCAGTAGGTTATATTCAAGTATAAAGATAAAATTAGAGTTGTAATTTCTATGTGATCTCACGGATATTAAAATGTTAGGTGAATGGAGAAACTCTCTTTCATATTACTTTTCTCCCTTAGGAAGAATAGCTTCGCACTATACCATCCATGATTTCATGTTCAAAACTAGATAGCGTATGTGGTCGTATTACACAAAACTTTCATTTAAAATCGTGAAAAAAATTGTCATCCAAAACTGAAAAATGAAGCATCTCATAAACCTTCAAAATAGTACCTCTCCTTAAGGAGAATATCTACCAACTTCTGTTTGGTGTAGAGCTATTACTTTTACATTTTTAAGTTAGTTCATTAAGTAAGTTCATGAAGTAAGTTCATGAAGTAAGTTCATTGAGTAAGTTCATATAAGTTCATGAAGTAAGTTCATTAAGTAAGTTCATGAAGTAAGTTCATTAAGTAAGTTCATGAAGTAAGTTCATTAAGTAAGTTCATGAAGTAAGTTCATTAAGTAAGTTCATGAAGTAAGTTCATTAAGTAAGTTCATGAAGTAAGTTCATTAAGTAAGTTCATGAAGTAAGTTCATTAAGTAAGTTCATGAAGTAAGTTCATTAAGTAAGTTCATGAAGTAAGTTCATTAAGTAAGTTCATGAAGTAAGTTCATTAAGTAAGTTCATGAAGTAAGTTCATTGAGGAAGTTCATGAAGTAAGTTCATTAGGCAAGTTCATTAACTAAGTTCATTAAGCAAGTTCATTAAGTAAGCTCATGAAGTAAGTTCATGAAGTAAGTTAATGAAGTAAGTTCATGAAGTAAGTTCATTGAGTAAGTTCATGAAGTAAGTTCATTAGGCAAGTTTATTAAGTAAGTTCATTAAGTAAGCTCATGAAGTAAGTTCATGAAGTAAGTTAATGAAGTAAGTTCATGAAGTAAGTTCATTGAGTAAGTTCATGAAGTAAGTTCATTAGGCAAGTTCGTTAAGTAAGTTCATGAAGTAAGTTCATTAAGTAAGCTCATGAAGTAAGTTCATTAAGTAAGTTCATGAAGTAAGTTCATTAAGCAAGTTCATTAAGTAAGTTCATTAAGTAAGTTCAAAATCTTAAGCGTAGTCTGAAATGATGATGAAACGCGCTACATTTTGCGAAAAGTAGAAACGGAATGACTCAAAGATGAAGTAGGGATCGTTATTCGCGTTGAACCAAGACTTACAACACTATCTTAAAACGTTTATTGGCTCTTCAATTTCCCGTTCGGGACCTCCGACGAGACACCGTTCTGCGCGACCTTCGGCTTCCTGATGTACGCTTTGTAATAGAAGTCCCCGAACAATATGATCATGAAGACGTTCTGAGGGATCATCACCGCAGCCGTCCATTTTGGAAAACCGCAGTCTTCGGTCCAGGCTAGTAACACGAAGTGCAGCAGGAGCACACAGAACTGAGTGAGTTGCAACTGTGTTACGTATTTTTTCCACCAGGGTTTATATAATCGCAGCGAGGTCGCTAGATAGTAACTGTACATCACTATGTGGACGAAGCTGTTCACTGTACCTGTAAACGGAAACTTTTATAATTGACGGAATATTCAAAATTAATTGATTGGGTAAAAAGTTGATTTTGTCAGGAGGTGATGTTCGACATATAAGGAGATATTATGTCAATGATTATTTTTCGTTGATAGGTGGCTTTTGAGAGTGTATGCATTGAATTAGCGTTGGATTAGCATACGTTAGACAGTCACGTGGTTTATTGTTACTTTTAGATGATCCGGTAGGTAGAATGAACATTACGTGATAGATTATTACGCGTTACATCGCGCCACGTTCTTATGTAGATCCTCATGTGTTGGATCGTCATGTGTTACATCGGCACAGACCACATTTGCGCAGTATTTCCATGCATGGTATTTGCTACGCATTGAATTTTCCACGCTTGGTATTTGCTACGCGTCGTATTTTCATGCACCGTAGTTCCACGCGTGGTATTTGCTACGCGTGGTAGATCTACGCGTCATAATTCTACGCGCTGTAGTTCCACGCGCCATAGTCCCACACGTCGTACTTCCACGCGTTGTAATTTCACGTGTCGTATTTCCATGCGTGGTATTTGCTACGCGTCGTAATTCCACGCGTGGTGTTTGCTACGCGTCGTAATTCCATGCGTGCTATTTGCTACGCGTCGTAATTCCACGCGTGGTGTTTGCTACGCGTCGTAATTCCATGCGTGCTATTTGCTACGCGTCGTAATTCCACGCGTGGTATTTGCTACGTGCCGTAATTCCACGCGTGAAGTTTGTTACGCGCCGTGGATCCACGCGTTATAGTTCCACGTGCCGTAGTTCCACGCGTGGTATTTGCTACGCGCCGTAATTCCACGCGTGATATTTGTTACGCGCCGTAGATCCACGCGTTATAGTTCCACGTGCCGTAGTTCCATGCGTCGAATTTCTACGCGTGGTATTTGCTACGCGCCGTAATTCCACGCGTGGTATTTGCTACGCGCCGTAATTCCACGCGTGATATTTGTTACGCGCCGTGGATCCACGCGTTATAGTGCCACGTGCTGTAGTTCCACGTGCCGTAATTCCACGCGTTGTACTTCCACGCGTAGTATTCCCTACGCACCGTAGTTCCATGCGCTGTAGTTTCATGCGTCATAGTTCCACGTGTCGTACTTCCACGTGCCGTACTTCCACGTGCCGTACTTCCATGCATGGTATTTGCTAGGCGTCACAGTTTCACACGCTGTACCTATATGCGTCGTATTGCTGCGCGTAATTTTTCACGCGTCGTAGTTCCACTCGTTATATTGCCACGCGTCATATTTCAATCCATCGTATTTCCACGCGCTATATTTACACTCTTTACATTATCAAACGCCATTTTTCCATGCATCGTGTAATCCACTCCATATCGTCACGTGTCCTACCGTCACGCGTCCTAATATCACGCATCTTATTTAGGTGCACATTTTCCTTATATCGCCACGTATTCCGTTTATCATATGCCTCCAACTTAACAGTACCAGAACCCTATTTTCTTACCTAAAAATGTGATATGACCTCCAGCAAGAAATTTAGTGGCCGCCCAAGTACCGAAAGCCATCCCCGTATGGTGATACACATGAAGGAACGACACCTGGTTGTGCTTCTTCCGCAGAATGAAGAAAATAGTATCAAGGAGGTCGAAAAGCTTCACCATAAAGTACATCCATACGACCCTGGCTATCTATGTTTCGCATACTGCGTTACTATCTGTTTCACGTTAAATTATTGTTGGGTTATTATTTATTTACCTCGAGTGCTCTCGGATTGTATGAATAATCAACTGGCTCGCAGACGAAACTGTAGTGGCCCAGCCAAGCCAGCTGCAGTGCCTACAATTTCAAATATTTCGTTAGTGTTATAAGGAGAGTCTGAATTGAAATGGATGTGAATTTACCTTATAGAATACGTATGTACATATTACTATCTGCATCGCATTGTATGCCTGTACGACTCTGTCTAAGTTGAAGGGTTTTCTTCTCGCCATGATGCTGGGGCCCAGATCTTGCACGAAGTACAGGTAAAATCCTAGGATGCCCAGGCAGACCCATGGTGATCCGATCAAGAAGAAATCCTGGGTCCTAGGATCTTTTTCAAGGCGAAAGGCGGTTACTCGTTTGTTATAGTTTAGTGTTCGTTAAGTCTAAGTTAGTTAGTTAATGTCTAATGTTCACTGCCATTATTTTTCTCATATCACTCACAGAAATGACACAGTCAAATACACTAACTCAGTAACTAGGCAACTAAGTTAAACGAAGGTAAACTATGGAAGATATCAAGCTCACACTCGTTTTAATTTCATCAAAAATAATTTGTACATCTCGACTTCCTAATTGGCGTCAACTTCCTAACTCGGTTCCGATCAAACTCCGGTATTTCTCAAATAAAAAGTACCTGCCAGTTCCTCGTTGATGTAGCGATATCCGTGATATATACGTCGTATCAACGTCGTCATATTTGCTGGAGCAGAAGATCAATAGAGTCGTTGCCTTCGAATCGTCATACGATCGTGATTCCACTTGGCAAATGTCTCCTCTTCGAGCGCAAACGTATTCTTAAAAACTCCCCGGGAGACAACTACCTTCGAAACATTCGTTCGAACCACGGTTGTCATCAACGCTGCACGCGAACGAATAAATAAGTAAACAAATTGCTGGCACCGTTCGATTTTCCCGTGGCCCTAAGATCCGCAGACCGACCAGTTTGACGGACCTGTACTTCGACACAACCTTCAAGAAACAACAAGAAAGACTGATAGAATTCATTTCCCCCGTCAAACAACATGTCCGTTGCGACTCATTGTATTTTAATTAATACGATATGAAGTATCCGATCGTCCCCCGATGGGATTCGATACACCATCTAACATCTTTGACCCTTATCATGAAGAAATATGCATACGACCTTAAACGGGGACCTGTATCGTATCTATGGGACATCTTTGTGCTCCGAGTGGTTCGTCAGTTTAGTGTGGTATGCTAATTGTGGATAAATATCGTTTTGGAGGACTTTTATTTACTCTTGTTCTTTGGGAGAATGGGTAAAGGCTGAAGAAGATTCAGATATGTGTACGAATTATTATATTTTGTATGCTAGAGTGACGGGAGCTTTCGGTAGAATTGTTAATTACTTATAAGTTAATTTGCATTATTTTTAAGTTTATAATTTTTAGGTTTTCAGGTGTTTAAATCTCGGATTTTCCCGATTTCTTAATTTCTAAGTTTATGAATTTTGCAATTTATAAAGCATTAAATCTTTAAATTTGTTTATTTACAAATGCCTAAATCACCCAATTACTCAATTTCCAAATGCTTAATTCGTCAAATTTCTAATTCCCTAGATTCCCAAATAAATTCCCTAGATCTCCTAGATTTCCCAGGTTCCCAAATAGAATCCCTAGATTCTCTATATTTCTTAGATTTTTAAATCCCTAGAATCTCAAATCTCTACAATTCCAAATTTCTAGAATCGCAAATCCCTAGAATCCCAAATCCCTAGAGTCCCAAATCCCTAGAATTCCAAATCTCTAGAATCCCCAAATTCCTAGAGCCCCAAATCCTTAGATTCCAATTCCCTAGATTTCTAAATATCTAGAATTCCCAAATTCCTAGAACCTCAAATCCCTAGATTCCACAAATCCCTAGATTCCACAAATCCCTAGAATCTCCAAATCCCTAGAATCCCAAATCCCTAGAATCCCAAATCCCTAGAATTCCAAATCTCTAGAATCCCAAAACCCTAGAATCCCCAAATTCCTAGAACCCCAAATCCCTAGAATTCCAAATTCCTCGAATCCCCAAATTCCTAGAATCCCCAAATCCCTAGAATCCCCAAATTCCTAGAGCCCTAAATCCCTAGATTCCAATTCCCTAGAATCCCCAAATTCCTTGAACCCCAAATACCTAGAATTTCAAATCCCTCGAATCTCGAAATCCTTAGAATCCCAATTCCCTAAAACCCCAAATCCCTCGAATCCCCAAATCCCTAGAATCCCCAAATCCCTAGAATCCCAAATCCCTAGATTTCCAAATCCCTAGACTCTCAAATCGCCAAATTCCCAAGTTTCTAAATTCCCAAATTCGTATATTTTTGTTCCCTAGATTCCCAAATTCCTTAGTCCCTAGATTTCCAAGTCCCTAAATTCCCAAATTCCCAAATTTCGAAATTTCTAAATTTCCAACTTCCTATATTTCTAGTTCCCCAGATTCTCAAATCCCTAAATTCCTAAATCCTTAAACTTCCAAATCCCTAAATCTCCAAGTTTCCAAATTTCCAAATCTTCAATTTTGTATAATTACTTCGACAATTTTGATGCAGCAAAGTATTCTCCGTTTCATTGTCAAATACTTCGGCAGAAAAATATTGTTCTTTTCCGCCCGTGTAAAACGACATCTCATTACTTCCTTCATTTAAATCGTTTAAATGAATCGATCATTTGAAGAATCGATAACGTCCTCATACGTATGTCGTAAATAATGCAGGAAAACGTGGTATAATTAATTAATCCGTTACTATGTAACAATTTTCTTGTTAATAGGTTTATTCGTTTTGTACTTATGTTATACGTGTTATTAATCTTTCACAACGCATGTTAATGACTGCAAAAATCACTTGGACAAATGACGAAGATTTATCGTTATAGTTTTGCTCGGCTAAACGTAATCGTACATTGAAAACTGTTCCGACAGAAGCAGGTTGCTGCAGGTAGTAAGCATCAAATTATTGCAATCGTATGAGACATCCGGAATAGAATATGCAAAACTCCCGGCGTACTATGCAAGCTTGCAATTACTTCGCAATATGTTCTTATTTGTCTCTTCTGTCTTTAAGTGATTCTTTCGAAACAAATTCTCCGCAAATGCAGTTTCTTTGGGTCTGTAAAAACAAGATCAAAGTTAATTCCTAACAAGATAAGATTTAAGTGGAAGATTTTCTTAGCGGCACTTTACTTTAAACTCTTTAGAAATATTTTATTTTACGTTTAAAAGTGACGAAATAAAAAATAATAAATAAAATTTGTGTTTGGTTATCTTGGGAATATAATTATAACCGGTATCGTTTAAACGGAGTCATATTGTAATTATTTTGGAGTTCCCATGCAAAATTTTCGCACATAATGAGCGCAATGTCAACGACCGTATGATGCATTTACAAGTAATATCTGATGTCCGCAAAAGAAATCAACAATGGCGTTACAGAGGAAGCCGATTATACAATGTCTCAAACAAGCGATTGTGTCGTGATTTTTGAATCGTTTTCTGAAAAACTAGCCTCGATTTGCAATTTTAATTTGATCAACAGTTGCGGTGGTATTGAAAGACAATTATACGATTTAAAATAGACTCTTTTACGAGTTAAACGTGTATTATTCAAAGTTTCATGTTCAAAGATCTTGTAAACATTTTCTCCTTGAAAGGGAAGCAACTCAATATATTTTAAGAGTCTTAATGGCTTAATACTTTAGGAGCAATAATAATTTGAATGCAAAATATAAGTTACGAATACAAAATACTTTAATGATATACTGTGTATGCAACGTTGTAAACAATATTCATAGAAACTCGATAATTGTATAATTTCCAATTCGATTATAATGAGCGCATTTGAATGGCGTGGAATGTTAGCCACTGTTTTGCGTCAGCGAGGAAAATTATCGTAGTTCGAATATCTCAAGTACAATGTTCTAACGGAATGCATGTATGCAAGGGACGTCACTTCCGGAGTAAGCTTTCGTTTACAAACAATCAAACTTTCGATACATTCATGACTAAAATTAATTTCATCAATTTTCGTATCTTGAGTTTTTTATTTTGATATCATTTTTGAGAAGACAGTGAGAATACCTCAAGTAGAGTACTCTAACCAACACAATGTATGTATGTAAGTAACGTCACTTTTGGAGCAAACTTTTCTTGCTTTCCAAATGATCAAACTTTCAATAAATCCATGACTAAAATTAGTTTGATCAATTTTTGTATCTTGAGTTTTTTATTTTGGTATCATTTTTGAAAAGACAGTGAGAATACCTCAAGTAGAGTACTCTAACAGAATGTACGTATGCAATTAACCTCACTTCCGGAGTAAGTTTTGGTTCCCAAACAATCAAACTTTCAATAAATCCATGACTAAAACTAGTTCGACCAATTTTCGTAATCTTGAAATTATTATTTTGATATAATTTTTAAAAGAACAGTGAGAATATCTCAAATACAGTGCTCTAACAGAATGTACGTATGCAATTAACCTCACTTCCGGAGTAAGTTTTGGTTCCCAAACAATCAAACTTTCGATAAATCCATGACTAAAACTAGTTCGACCAATTTTCGTAATCTTGAAATTATTATTTTGATATCATTTTTAAAAGAACAGTGAGAATATCCCAAGTATAGTACTCTAACAGAATGTACGTATGCAATTAACCTCACTTCCGGAGTAAGTTTTGGTTCCCAAACAATCAAACTTTCAATAAATCCATGACTAAAACTAGTTCGACCAATTTTCGTAATCTTGAAATTATTATTTTGATATCATTTTTAAAAGAACAGTGAGAATATCTCAAGTACAGTGCTCTAACAGAACGTACGTATGCAATTAACCTCACTTCCGGAGTAAGTTTTGGTTCCCAAACAATCAAACTTTCAATAAATCCATGACTAAAACTAGTTTGACCAATTTTCGTAATCTTGAAATTATTATTTTGATATCATTTTTAAAAGAACAGTGTGAATATCTCAGGTTCAATGTTCTAACAGAATGTATGTACGTGTGCAAGAAACGTCACTTCCGGAGTAAACTTTTCCTACTTTCCAAACGATCAAACTTTTGATAAATCTATTACTAAAACTAGTTTAATAAATTTTCGTATTTTGAGTTTTTTTTTTTTATATCATCCTTAAAAAAATAGTGACAACATCTCAAATACAGTACCCTAACCAACAAGAATGTAGGTACGCAAGTAATGTCACTTCCAAAATAAGCTTCCGGTGCTGTCCAAAACATCAAACTTTCGATAAATCCTAAAAGTAGTTTAATAAATTTTTGTATCTTGAAATTTTTATTTTTATATCATTTTTAAAAGAACAGTGAGAATGTCTCAAGTACAGTGCTCTAACAGAATGTACGTATGCAGTTAACCTAACTTCCGGAGTAGTTTTCGGTTCATTATGTTCCGACCAATCGATCAAACTTTTAATAAATCCATAACTTGATCAATCATCGAATCTTGAGTCCTTTATTTTTTCATTTTTAAAAGAACAGTTAAAATGTCAAAGAAGCAGTATTCCAAAGTATACGTAATTCGTTTAACTTGTTAATTACGTGTGCACAGTATCTAAAACGACCGTGGCCTTATGTAACCGCCATATTGAAAATCGATTCGCATTCCTTTGACACCAATAACTTTCTCGAAATAATTTACTTTTTAAATTTTATTTTTAAGGTTTTATTATTCCTATTTTTATTCGCTTGACCTTTCGACCCAGTTACCCTTATCAAGTACGGTATTTATTATTAACCCTTTGACGTATAAATTAAATCGATTTGATACGTATTGTATATTGAAATGCATATAAAAAGTTATAAATGAAATGAGGTAAAAGTAACAACTCTCTTACGTAATTATCTGTTTAATATTTACAAATGAAGCAGTAGAATTTCAATGATATATGGAATTCAATTAACGTGCCACGTCCGCAGAAATCGTGCGTTACAGTTTGACTTTCAAGAAAAACATGATTCCATTTTCCTCTAGTTGATTTATAAAAAATACTTAATAATGTTACTGTAAAATTACTGTATTATATAATTTTGAATTGTATGAATATTGAAACAGGTATTTCTTCGTTCTTTCCTGTCTTTAAAAGATCGAAAGTTATACAGTTTGTTCGATTTATTTAGTTATGTTACGAGAAATCGATATTCACATCTACGTGCATCTTATAATTATGGAGGAATTTCGATAAATACGCGTGTCATGCAACGCATATCATTTCTGTGGACGTTAATGTCAATATCAGTGAATGACAATTTTAGCTCGGAGCGGATGGAGAGGTCCCACGGGTCCCACAGGTCCCACGGTTGTGACCCTTAAACCATGAAAGGACACTGACCAGTGAATAATCGATGAATTCACTGGCCTTTGATAGACACGTTATTTACCTCGAACTTTCCGATCGATGTCGATCTCTTAACAATTATTTTCACCAGCGAGATTCCACATTGCTTCTCCACGTACAAAAATATTCAGCAAAAGTATGTTTCTCCATGCACAAAAATATTCAGCAAGAGTATGTTTCTCTACGTACAAAAATATTCAGTAAGAGTATGTTTTTCCATGCACAAAAATATTCAGCAAGAGTATGTATCTCCACGTACAAAAATATTCAGCAAGAGTATGTTTCTCCACGTACAAAAATATTCAGCAAGAGTATGTTTGTTTTACGATATAAAAATTATAAACATCACTGTTGAAATATAACTGATGGACCAAGATCAAGTTTTCAATATGTACAGTGCTGTTCAAAATTATTGTGCACTCTCCATTTTTTCAACGAAGCCTTTTCATTTATCTAGTATTGTTAATACTAATGTAGTTAGTATTTGTTTTATTTAATACTATGTCAAAATGTTTTATTTAATACAAATGTTGGGTTCCTAAAATTTTCTTGTTTAATAGAAATATTTTATTTATGTACGAGTACTGTTTTGTTGATACGTTTTTCAATTTAATCACATCATTTTTATTTTCAATTCAAAAGTTCAATTATTCAATTATTTTTTACCTTATATTATTTTACGAACATTTTTGTCAGAGAAGTTTGTGAACAAAAGAATGTTTGAAGAAGTAGAAAGTTACTAATTATTATTAAGTTAGGTTTCGTTATCATAAAACGTAAATTAGGTTTCGTTATCATAAAACGTAAATTAGGTTTCGTTATCATAAAAAATAAATTAGGTTTCGTTATCATAAAACATAATTCAGTTTTATTATCATAAAATATAATTTAGCAATGATAAGAAATTGTTTCAATGCCATCATATAAATTATTTGCTTCTGAACGTCACTGTATTGATTTCAATACCAAAGTGTCGATTCACGCGACAATTGCTGATACGCAGTTTTTATTTCATAGTATTACAAGCAAGTGTACGCACACTTACAACACATTATAAACTATTTTGTAATTAGTGAATGACTAGAAGTGATGTAAACAAGGTATATTCAAAATCAAGTGTATTTTTTACATTTGAATGTTACATGTACAACTTACAGCTCTATCAATAATTTTCTATGAAACATAAAAAGAAAGGTAACAAGAGGCACAGTTTGTACGAAATAACGGCCGTCGAAATATTAAAAAATGGTAAAATTTGTACAATCGAGGTTTATATTCGGAAACGTCAAAATTAGTAAGGTTCGGAATTATTCGCAATTGCTTGGATCCCATCTAGTTGTTCTTTTTGTAAGTACACCTTTAATAGAATCCTTAAGCTTTATACCGTGTAACGAAGAAATTAACCTAAGTGATATGTTCGAATGAATAACAGAACGAAAGGAAGTTACATGTCGAGAACATTTTTTATAGGAATACATACGATGCAGTTTCGCTGAAGTCTTCTAATTTTAAACACGTCAGATTTCCAAATTTCTAAATTTGCAAGTTTCAGTTCGTAAATTTTAGTAACGAGCGATTACTGCACACCAAAGAAATTCTCAATTAATTATTTTAATAAAAACGGTCTTATTGATTTAACTTAAAGAACAAAGTTATCGATGAGATCGAGCGTGAAAATGATCGTAGAATTCGATTATTCTGCGGCCAAACGATTCCTGCGTTACCGACAAGGCAAGGCGGGAATTTTGAAAGCGACACGTAAAACATGGGGGAATTCAATTAACAAAGAACATTCGAATCGAAGTAAAACTATAAACTGAGGGATATTTCGATTTATGAACAATCATATCACTTTCAAGCCTGCAATAAAAAGCGCGCGAAACGGAACTAATATTTTATCGATAAATTAACGTTGTCACGAATCAATTTATCTTCTTTGTTGTACGACTTAAAAATGGTATTATGGCTGCGAAGAGCTGCTCACGTTCGAAAAAAAAACGTGAACCATTGGTGTATCTAGGATGCTTATTTCGTAATTTGGAAACTGGGGTATTGGATATTCAAGGTTCAAAAATTTGGGAATTTGGGGATTTGAAGGTTTAGGAAGTTGGGGATTTAGTGATTTGGGGATTTAGAAATTTGGGGATTTAGGGATTGGGGATTTAGGGATTGGGAATTTAGGGATTGGGGATTTGGGGACTTGGGGATTTAGTGATTTGGGGATTTAGTAATTTGGGGATTTAGGGAATCGAGGATTTAGGGACTTGGAGATTTAGTGATTTGAGGATTTAGAAATTCGGGGATTTAGGGATTGGGGATTTAGGGATTGGGGATTTAGGGATTGGGGATTTAGGGATTGGGGACTTAGGGATTGGGAATTTAGGGATTGGGGATTTAGGGACTTGGGGATTTAGTAATTTGGGGATTTAGGGAATCGAGGATGTGGGGACTTGGGGATTTAGTGATTTGGGGATTTAGTGATTTGGGGATTTAGAAATTCGGGGATTTAGGGATTGGGGATTTAGAAATTCGGGGATTTAGGGATTGGGGATTTAGGGATTGGGAATTTAGGGATTAGGGATTTAGGGACTTGGGGATTTAGTAATTTGGGGATTTAGGGAATTGAGGATTTAGGAATTTGGAGATTACAGAATTTGGAAATTTAAGAATTTGTGAGATTTTAGGATTTCAAGGTTTAGGAACCCGGAGATCCAGAAATCCAGGGATTTGGTAACTTGCATACCTTGGAGTTTGGGTATCTGGGTATTTGGAGATTTGAAGGTCTCAGAAATCAGGAATTCAGAAATTAGGGGTTCTTCAGGTCTTGAAATTCGGGAATTCCGAAATGTGGAGATTTGGGAACTTGGATACTTACGTCCTTTCGAACTTGGGAATTTAAGAATTGGCAATTAGGTTATTTACAAATTTGGGAACTTGGACATTCGAGAACTTGGAAACCTGGGAACTTGTACATTTAGAAATAAGAGAATTTGGATAACCTTATACTTGGAAAGCTAATTACACATTTGTGTCCAAGTTCCCAAACTTGGGAAACTTTAATTCATCTCTCGCGGAGAGACCCAATTCGTAAAATGAACCAACTCTGGTGTCTTACTATATAAACCTGTAAAAGAGCTAAAAAATTGTATGTAAAACCTAGCATCCGCCTTCTCCCGAAGTGTTCCAGTAGGTATCGTGCTCACAAACTGAACATTCGTCAAACGCTCGACAGACCTTCCATTCTGAACAGCTTACATTAACTAAATGAACATGCACAGTCCACGATGAACCATTCTTCTATACAGTATTCATTCATTCTTGTTCTTTATCGCGCCGTTCGTACACGACTTCTCGTTTATACTTCGATTTTTGGTATAGTTGGTGATGTAGAACTTGCCAAACATGTAAATGAAGATGATCGAGTTCAGACTTAGTAGAAACGCGATTATTTTCGGGTAGTTGCAGTCGATGAAGAATAATTGAAGGTTGTGCACTAAGATGATGCTGAACTGGATCAGCTGCAGAGTCGTCAAGTACTTCTTCCACCAGACGTACTTGTACATGTGTGGTCCGATCGAGGTGAGCATGTAGTAGGAGTACATGATGATGTGGATGAAAGAATTGATTACACCTAACAGGGTAGAATGACCACCCGGTACGTAGCGGATGCCTACCCAACTGCAGAATGGCATTAGGGCGTGGTGGTACACGTGCAAGAAGCTGATCTGACGCTGCTTCTTCCGGAGGACGAAGAACACCGTGTCCAACAGCTCGACTAGCTTGCACAGGTAGTAACTATGCACGGCTCGAGCCATCTGCAATTTTGAAACAGAGAATTTCTGATAAGAAAGTATTTATGTGAGCATTTCATGTTCATTTTCCTATTACAAATTTTTAAGTGAGAAATTTCGAAAGGTTTGTTGCTTTTGAGTGTAAATAACATGACAGCACATCATTTTTTTGTACATAACACGACAGCATATAACTCTGTTGTAAATATCAGGACAGCGCATAATTTTTTCGTAAATAACACGTCTGCATAACCTTCTTGTAAATAACATGACAGTACATCATTTTTTTGTACATAACACGACAGCATATAACTCTGTTGTAAATATCAGGACAGCGCATAATTTTGTTGTAAATAACACGACTACATAACCTTGTAAATAACATAACAACAAGTATCTTGATAATAAACCGATGACAATACACAATACAAAAAGAAGAATGAAAATTATTTCATTCCGATACGTGAATATTTTTCACGTATCTTTTGGCTAATAAACATTTAAACTTCGCGCCATGAATTGTGACAACATGGCGTAATTGACCTAACCTTCCTATTTTAGGACTCTAGAAGAGCCCCCTTTTGGATTGAACACGAAATACTTTGGTGACATTACCTTTGTTCTCGAAAACACGTCTGGGTCCGAGGACCCCGGGTAAGTAGAAAGCAGCAATATCGACAGTATCTGTTTTACCCGTGTATCTTTTTCCAATTTACTGATTTGTCTTTTTTTCTCGTAGGACGTGAAATACTAAATTGTGCTACACAATTTTCTACATAGGCAGTCTTTAATAGTGTAAATAACGGTTTAAAGTGAGTTGAATTGCTGTAGTACAAAGTTTCATTTTGTGCTAAAGCTTGAGGCAGATGGCGCTCGTTCCTGAGCCATTGTGTCCTCGAAAACGAAGGCATGGTTAGTAGTATAGCTATAGTCAATGGTAGAGACATAAAGAAGAGGGCAGCACCAATCGTAATCATATCCAAACACGGCGATAAAAGAAGAGATGCGAAAAGTAGCTTAGAAAAAAATATTGAAGTTGAAGTTCGAAACTACTTGTAGTAATTTGGCGCCAAATTTGAATATTTAAATTGCCATCGACTTTGCTGTATTATATCTTCATTAGTTTTATCTGTGGATTTTTGCAGAACTATTAGTAAATTCTGTTAGTGAAATCTATTAGTCAATTCTATGAATATGTCAAAAACAATCATTTTAGTAAAAGAACAATCTACTAGGAAAACATAGGTAAGAATGTACAGATGCATTTATAGGTACGAATATGTACAGATAAACATATAGATAAACATGTACAGATAAACATAGGTAAGAATGTAAAATAAGAATGTATAAAATAAATATTGCAAGAATATAAAATAAGAATGTATAAAATAAATATTGCAAAAATGTAAAGATAAGAATGTATAAAATAAATATTGCATTCTACCATGATGTGGACTATAGTTAACATTGTTAACAGGGAATATTCGTGCTAAATGATTAACGTTTAAATTAATTTTTAATACTAAAATTATAGTAAACGTACCCTAAGAGCCTGTGGACTGTTCGAATAGTCGACAGGCTGACACCGGAAGCTGTACTGTCCGCCCCATCCCCCCAGCAACCCCTCCCTAACGAGATATATGCTCAGCAGCACTTGTATGAAATTGTACGCGATCATAACGTTCCTCAATTGGTACGGTTTCTTGTCCCTCATGTACCTCGGCCCGGCAGAAACGCTGAAGTAAATATAGGTGACGATGATCATTAACAGTGGTCCGGGTCCCGTCACGAGAAACCAATCCTGGGTCCTCGGATCTGCAAGAGCATAGTCCTCGATTACGTAACTGTGGGCACTCAAAAATTATATTACGAGACGAGAGTAATGCAAGTAATACATCGTTTACATAATTACTCTGGCGGTTTTTATCATTTTTAAATTTATAACCTTGTTTGTGAAATGTGTTTGAATCAAAGAGGTATTTTAATTTGTTTTGTTGGCGTTCTTAATGCACTGACAGTGTACTGAGTGGTGATATAAAGTCGCATGATATAACGTGTGAAGACATTAAGACACGTTTGCTGGTATAAAGGTATTAACGCGTATAATTTTAATATTCACAATTATTTTTGATACCAGTGTAAACTACATTTGTGTACAGTTAGTGCATCATTAAATTGGGTCACGCAATTTAATACTACGCATATTCCAGTAACGACTGTAACAGATGATGTACATTACCGGTTGTGTTGTACACGATGTCTTTGTACCACTCCACGATACCCGACATTGTCCTCGGCAGTCTCCGCAACGAACCTGAAAACAGGAATACAATGTTTCAATGCGCTTACATGCAAAAAGAAATGCACACAACAACATGAATTATCATCAATGCGTATAATCACTGAATAGGTCAGTAAAAAACTAATGACAGAATAATGCGAATTCTTGACTACATGCATGGAATCGCTTTGGTTCGAGAATGAAGGACTTCTCGAAGCGAACAACGTTCAATGAAGTTGATCAGTTATCGAAGAAAACTTCCTACGAAGTGAAAGGTGAAATAGCTCGTAAATATATTATCTGCTGTATGTCATATTTAATATTGGAGACATACGGAAATGTGTGTATTAAGATTGTGGTAGATGAATGTGGAGAGTAGGGTTCTGTTCACGTAGGGATCTGGGGATGTAAGGATTTGGGGATTTGGGGATTTAGGGATTTGGGGCGCTTGGGATTTGGGGCGCATGGAATTTGGGGCGCTTGGGATTTGAGGCGCTTGGGATTTGGGGTGCTTTGGATTTGGGGCGCTTAGGATTTGGGGCGCATGGAATTTGGGGCGCTTGGGATTTGGGACGCTTGGGATTTGGGGCGCTTGGGATTTGAAGCGCTTGGGATTTGGGGTGCTTGGGATTTGGGGCGCTTGGGATTTGGGGCGCTTGGAATTTGGGGCGCTTGGGATTTGAGGCGCTTGGGATTTGGGGTGCTTTGGATTTGGGGCGCTTA